GCGGCACGGGGGAGGGAGGCCCGCGGAGGCACCCGCCGGCTTTGCCCGCTGGGCGACGCTGCTCCGAGCGAGCGGTCGCCCGGGGCTCCGAGGAGGAGACGCCTTCCTGTCAAGGCTTAAATTTACAGTGATTAAGCGCCTGCAAGCTGCCACTGTTCTGAGAAACCTTGGCTCTCTCCAGCTACGCTTTTCGGGAGGCGAAAGTAAACCAAGAGGCAACAGCCCTGAAGCCCAACGAAAACTATTTTGCACTGGATTCTCTTCACCGTGGGGTTGGAAGCAGGAACGGTCCTCTTTCTAGACGTCATCTTGAGACAACAAAATTTGAGTCTAAAAGTTTTCGCCTCTGGCTATAAACCCAGGGGGCTTCGACTAGTGCTTCTATGTGAATCTTCTCCAGAGGCTTCTATTGCTTGTGCTGAATCAAAACACCTTATAGGGCACCTGGGTCCTCTCTCAGGTTGCTCCTTATATCTCATGTCTTATCTCATTCACTCTTTAAACATTAATTGAGCGCCTGCGTTCCTGCCAGTCCCTTCTCTAAGGGAGCAAGATGTCAGCCCCATCTTAAGGCAAGAGACCCATCTCACAAAGAGTATGTTAGGACCTCACAGCTGCTATTAAGAATTAAAGGGGGCCCTTCCTAGTGGCACAGCGGGTTAAAGCACAGCACGATGAAGCTATCCAAAGCCACCACAACATGAGTTCAATCCCGGGTCAGGGAGGTGACCCACACGGTGCAGCAGACCTCTCCTATCTCACCCGCTGCTCCCCTCAGCAGTGTATTTCAGTCAATCTGCCTGTTCTGCTCCCCACTCTGTCTCTCACACCCTCCCCCCATCACTGGTCTGTACCCCAGTTCTTGTAATGCATAAATAAATAAATCTTTAGAAAAAAAAAAAAGATCTACAACTCTTCTCTCATACACTACTTGTTCTTTGCCAGTATGTTACTTAGCTCACCTCTATGATTTCTTTGTAGAAGGGAGACCTGGGTTTCAGCCTTGAAACATCCCTCATCTGACACTCCGTGTTCTCACAGTGACATGGAGACAGATATGCACTCTGCTTTTCCCATTGCAAAAGCATTTAAATTTCCCTGTACGTGTAAGGACATCAGTACTGTCAGCTCCCCTGATGGCCAATAACTTCTTCTGTTTCTATCACGGATCCCAAGTCCCAATCATCTCTGTCCTAGTGGCCTTTAATTCTCAAGAAGTGAAATGGTTATCAAAGTAAAAAGCCAACTATGGCTAGAACTGTAGTCAAACGCATGGCAGACCTACGAGTGTACTCCGTCTCTGTCTTATGAATACTCTTTCAATGGTGCCGCTGAAATAGTTCCATCTTGTTTCAGCTACTGTTCCTCATTCTCTTAATTCCAGTTACTAACTTGAGAAATTTATCTGCACTTGGATCATCATCTAATCTATACTTTATCGACAGGAATTTTAAAAGCAGGAGAAGAAGGATGAGGGGCAAGAGAAGCCCAGGTGTTTTGGTTAATAGTTTTATGAGTGTCTAAACTGGCTAAATCAAAGCCAGCTCAAACAAAAGGTGGCTAAGTTAAGCGAAAGGGAATTTGGTGCTCACAGAATCAGTGGGGGCTAAGCATGGAAATGAACAGAAAGGAACATCTATGGTTGGCCAAGAACACACACACTCTCAAAGCAAAAAGCAAAACCAAATACTCATTTTGTGAAGCAACCACTTCAAAAATAAGCTATATGTGTGGGTTTGGGCAGGGTATTTCCAATTCAAACTCACATCATGCTCCTTCCTTTAGGGAGAACTGGTAAAGAGTTCCATTGTTTTTGAAATTAAGGTCACCACATAAATCTGAAGAAGAGGTTTCTTAAAACAAAGCTAAGCTAAAAACAGGAAAACAGCACTCAGGGAGGGAGAGAAATTCCGATGACTAGGAAGAAAAAGAATATGAGAAATATGAGTGTGTGCACTCTCTCTCTCTCTCCTGTAAGACTAGGAAGAGCCTGGTTAGCTAAGGAATGAGAAGGTGGAAGTACATTCTGCTCAAAGAACCTGTTAAGGAATAGAAACCCCCCAGTTAGAACTACTTTCAAGAGCATCCCACCATCTGGTAATGCTACTGAACGTCTGGAGCCGATTTCAAAACCCAGCTGGGTCTAACTCCAAAATAAGAGAATCTGAACACCCAAGCCTGTATTGAACTGAGCTGTGACTGAGGCACTTCTGAATTAGCCAGAGGTAGGCTACATTTGATCTACATTTCCTTTCTTTTGCTCTCAATTAGCTATCCCTTTTTAAAGATAGCAGTCAAGTTAACCAGCAAAGTCAGAAGACCAGAAAAGTGACAGCTGCTAGAAATGCTATAGAAAGGTATGCATGATGGTAGATTTTTTTTTTAAATAGAGAACAGCAAAATGGTAAAGTTGGCTAAAGGATTGGTCTGCTGTTCAAATCCACCCAAGAGACATGTTTCTACTTTGGATCATATACTAGGGTTCAAGATAGAACTCTAGATATTTGTAGCACCTGATGTGATACATGCAACATTTTTCTGCTCACTGAACACCAGGTCTGAGCTGGTTGACTGGATTCCTGTTCTTGCTCATTCCTGTCATCCTTGCAAGCAGAACCGTGCTGGGTTAAAAGGCAAGGAGTGGTTCTCCACAGAGAGCTCCCGAGGTCACCAGTCACACCCTCTCTTTACCTGCCTGTTCACTCCTGGGAGCCAGAAGAGAAGGATTTGTGACAGCCTAAGAAACTGTCCATTTGCCTCCACACATTATCCAAGTTAATTATTCCTATAAGCAATGCTTCATCGAGCACAAGTGTGTTAAAATGTGTTGAGTGAGCTGAAATCTCTCATATGAAATATTAGACTTGTGAAATTCAGGAGTAGTTTAATTTGATCCTGGCCAACCATCAAAGCAGAACATGATGTTTCCAAAACTGACTGTATGAAGAATAATTGAAGAAATGGAGAAAGAGTAGATAACACCTACATCACAAACTCTGGAATATATAAAATGGCATTGTGTTAATAAGCAGGTAGTTTACTGGAGTTTCTTTTCTAGTTGTACGTAGTCTAGATGGAAAAGACTGAAAAATACAATGGGAAAATTGAAGTACCTGTCATCTTATTGTTACAGGACACCAAATCTGTTACAAGACAGGGAGAGAGGGGCACCCCTGAAGCCCCAAACCTGCCTACTCTAAGTGGGTTCTGCCATCTGCCTCATCAAGACAAAACATAAAAAACTTTAATGAAAAGGGACTTCAATACAGTAAATATACCATATGGAACACAAAGAATATAATGTCTAAATCAAACACCTGAAGTGACCCATCCCCTCGTGGGCAAAAGTCCACCCAAAAGGGGCTGGCCCAAAGCAAGGCCTGAAAGCCTGTCACAAGACTAAAGCAC